AACTGCCAATTTCTGCATTCATAATCAGACACTTTTAATGAATGACTCCTTAGCGTATTGACTTTTTGTCCTGAGTTGAACTAACCTTATTCATTTACTTACTAAGTACAACTCAGAATAGGATCATCACCTAAATGTTAATACATTCATCATCATAGAAGGCTATGAGGTTGGTCAGACATGATTTCTGCTTCGTGAATCCATGCTGACGAACCTGATAGCCTTCTATGATGTCATTAGTGGCTGAATAGATGGGGGAGAGCAGTGGATGTTGTGTACCTTGACTTCAGCAAGGAGGTCTCTGGACTTCTATCACAAAAGTTAACAGTTTTACATTTCATATATCTAAAGTGAATAGAGAGAATTCATGAATGTTAGAATTTAGGAGTATGTTTTGCCCATGATACTGTTCGGGAACTTGACTATTACAGATTAACCATTCAGTATCCTATTGGACTCAATACTTGGACTTCAAGTATTTCAAAGTCTGATGCACAACAATATCTCTTGCAGCTACATCAGTGTTATTGATAATGTACAGAAACTTTTCACCTTTTCTGTCTGCAAACATTTTACATAATTTCTGTTTTTGACATGAGATAGTCCAATGATAAACCAGGAGTTGGACTCAATGATCCTTGTGGTCTCTTTTAACTGTGGATATTCTATAATTCTATGATAACCAGTAAACTTTTGTTTGACTTACAGTACCCTAAGTAATAATTATTTCCAAACTGAACACAACAGATTCTATCAGAAGGAAAAATTTTGTTATTGTTTGGGTGACAGAGCATTGGCACAGACTGCTCAGAGAGTCTGTGAAGTCTCACTGGAGATCTTTGGAGGCTGCCTGGCCATGTCCTGGGCAACCTGCTGTGGACCAGATGGACTGAGAGGTCCCTGCCAATCTTAATCACTCTGGGATTCCATGACATCAATAGAGCTAATTGATGACTCCAGTGCAGGGATTGAATGGCTTTCATTACTCTTACAGTTTTGTCTCCAAAGCCAATTTAAGTATGACAGAAATCAGCCATTCAGTTGCTGATAATATTAATAGACATCTGGTAACATCCGGTAACAACGTTATTTCATAATCTCAAGCTAAAGTTTGATTATTGCATGGTAATTGAGTTAAAGACTGGGGACTTTAACACACGGGTGATAAAGGAGCATAAAGAATTGCTTTTTGTGTCCTTTCTGGACAACTTTACTGTTCTAGAGACGGAGTAAATTCTGTCAGAATTAGAACTGTTATAGCAAGGAAAGTATAGAATCACAGCATCACAGAAAAATGTGGCTGAAAAGTGCCTTTGGAATTTGCCTAGTCCAACTTCTTGCTTCAAGCCAGTTAAACCAAAAACTAAGAAAAGGCTGGCAAAGGCCTTGTCAAGTCATATTTTGAAAATCTCCACAGAGGTGGATCCCACATTCTGTCCAGGAAGTGTACCCCAGTGATTAACCACTCTCACAGAGATTAATTTCTTCTGGTGCTCAATTAGAATTTCCCTTCCTGCAACATATCAGCACTGTCTCTTGTCATCTCATTATCACAGAGAACACTAAGAGCCATTACAAAGCATCTGCCTCTTCCTACAATTTCACTGCTAGAGTTTTTTAAAATTAACATTGTAATAATTGACTCCCACCCCTCACTTGGAATTTCAGTCGTGCTCAGGTTTGCAGTATACCCTTGGTCATCCTCAACTCCTGCATGCTTCTGCAAAAGCTGGCACTTGAAGAACTTGCTCAAATCTTTTGTTCTAGTCACTTAATAATATGCACTGTAAACGCCACTGTGTTGAATAACAGGCACTCTCACAGCCATAATGTTGAACATCACAGCCATGATGTTGTGCAGTTACTCCTGTATCAAAGAACCATAGAATAGAGTCATGGAATCACAGAATCACAGAATCATAAAATTGCTTGGGCTGGAAGAAATGTTAAAGACCATAGAGTTCTGATCCCACTGCCATGGCGAGGTTACCACTCACTACAGCAGACTGCCCAGGGCCCCATCCAACTTGACCCTGAATATCTCCAGGGATAGGACATCCACAGCTTCTCTGGGCAACTGTGCCAGCACCTCACCACCCTCTGTAATAAATTTCCTCCTAGCATCTAACTTAAATCTCCCTCCCTTTAATTTAAAACCATTCCCTGTTGTCCTATCACTACCAAGCTGTATGAAGTGTCATGAAATTCTCCCTCTTGTTTATAAGCTCCCTTTAAATAATAGAAGGCTACAATGAGGTCACTCCAGAGCCTTCTCCAGGTCGAACAAACCCAGCTCCTTCAGCCTTTCTTCACAGGAGAGGAGCTCCAGCCCCCTGATCATCCTCATGGCCGTCCTCTGGACTTGCTCCAACAGCTTCACACCTTTTTGTTGTGCTGGCGGCCCCAGATGGGGATGCAGTACTACAGATGGAATCTCGTGAGGGCAGAGTAAAGGGGGACAATCAGTTCCCTCTCCCTGCTAGCCACTCCACTTTTGATGCAGCCCAGGATGTAGCTGTCCTTCTGGGCTGCAAGTGCACACTGCTGGCTTGTGTGGAGCCTTTAATGCACTAGAATCCCCAAGACCTTTTCCACAGGGCTGCTTTCAACCACCTCTTCTGTACTTGATACATCTGTTATTCAACTCAGAGCAGTTGTTTATAATTTGTACTTGAATTTGAAGTTTACTTCTGCTTCAGACCTATTGAAGCTTGAGTATCCATAAACAAGTACACTTTTCAGAACAATATTAGCTGATCTGACAAAAAACATTACCCTCCTTTAAACTCCGCATCATCTATATTTTTCCTTAATCACAGTCTCAGTGACACTATTTCTACATTAATTCTGAAGAGAACTGGATAAAGGTAGAGTAAATGGTGCTTATTTCATTAACTGCATATATTGATTAACAATTTCATGCAAATTGTGCAACAGCAGATTTATGGGAAAGTAGTTTCTAGCTCATTTATCATTCAGTTAATAAAAGATTGCTAATTATAAGTCATTTGTGTTTTCTGAAGAAGTGTGTGGATGGCTAGAAAAATAATGTTTTTGGAATTTCTTTACAGCTAAAACATTGGTTATAACTTTCTTGGATATAAATTTATGTACAGCTCAAGAATCTACCTAGAAAAAAATAAACCTGCCATTTTCTAGCTGCTTTATTCAAATTTAAACTGAAGATTAATCTAACTTTCTATGCTGCTGAGACTTTTATATAATTTTAATTGATGGAAGTTGCTTTACTGCCTGGTTTATTCTTCATTTATTCATCTGCCACACTGATGGCCAGAAATACCCTAAAGGCATCTTGAAATATTTATTCCTTCTTGAACTTCAGTGTTAAAAAAAGGTTACAAGGAAAACAGGCTTGGGTTAGGACCAAAAGCACCCAAGTAAACATCAAGGTAACACTGAGGGCTCCAAGCATCCACTACAAACAGCTTCAGTACAGTACAAGTGCTTCACTACAAGTAGCTTCGGGCACTTCTGGGACTGGAATGAGATGGAGACCTTTCATCCCTTTGCCAACCTCACCTTCAAGCACAGAGGTGAATGCTAAAACAAAAGTAGGTCCTGGTAAGTGCCAACACAGGCCTGTCAAAGTGGTAACAGCTTTGAAAATAAGCCATGTCCAAAACAAGCAACAACTTATTCCCTTTAGCCCTATTTCATTTTTCTCTTTCTATGCATTTATTTATGGGCTCTCCCTTCTTTTCCGTCAGAAACAACACAGGAGCTTATGTGTGAAATCTACTTTTGACCAGAAGATCCTTAAAGCTAGAGAGTGTTTACATAAGCCCAATGCACTTATTTCAGGACCTTGGCCATTGCCTTACAAGATTCAGAACCAATATTCACTAAAACACTACGCACAAATAACAGTGGAGAGCTTACCATTTCTTAAGGGAATTACTCTACCTTCCTACAGAGAGCCAAGCACTCACAGAACCTGTACTGAGTAACACAGAATAAATGGGAAGAGCTATTTTCCATCACTAATGTATCAACAGAAAACCTTTATGCCAATTTAGTGTCCTGAGTCTCAGGCTAGCTTTTCACAATTTGGTTCTTACTTATACACAATCTCAAGTCATACATAATAATTTAAATAATATTTAGAGTGTGTATTATACAAAATTCTCAGCAATTTTCCCTTTTACTATATTGCTATATTATATTTTCATTGTTACTGTCTGCATTACTCCAAAGTCTGTCTTGCTTCAAGAGACAAGTATATTTGTCCCTTATTTCTAAATACTTAAGCACTGAACCTCGATCATAAAATACAGTGTTAAAATTTTGTCATTACAATTCCAGCAGTATTTTCTACATAATTTTATTTTCTATTGGTCTTGCATTATTGTCTACTTGTAAGAGTAATAGTACAATAAGCACTATTTCCAAAAGAAGGCAAAGATGAAGTAAGGGCAAATGAGAAAAGGAAAAAAAAAAAAAAAGAATACTTGAAGTATGTGTTTTGGAAGTTATGACAACCACATGGGCAGAAAGATTTCTAAGATTTAGTCTGAATCACTAGGACACACAAAATCTCAGAAGGCCTCAGAAAATATGAAGGTTTAGGTAAGCTTGAAGAAGATACCTAACCATCCATGTAGGTATTGCAGCAGACCTCAGAGGAACTTCCCTCCATGTATCCAGTCCTGTTTTACAGCAGAGCTATAAGTTACGTGATGAACCACATCAGATGGCCTTCAGGCACCAACTGCACTCCCAAGCTGGAGAGCCCAAGTTTGTGTGGTTCTTCCTCAGATGGAAGTTGTACAACTTTGATCACCTCTCTCACCCTGCTAAGTTATAATATATACAATACATATATAACATATATATCTCTAAGTTATAGATATATATTAGGCACCAAAAAAAAAAAAAAAAAAAAAAAAGACTGGTGGATTTTTATTTACTTGTGTTTCAAAAACTAGAACATTTTGAATATTTTTTTACCACAGATTTCTTGAAGGAAACACTCAGATTACCTTTACAATTGAACTTCCTGAAGTCATATCCACAAGTTTGCACAACGCTTTGGTACAGGACCTGACCGAGGAGAAAAATCCAATATACAGTAGATGGCAAAAATACCCAGGCCATATGGGTTAGGAACACTCAGGAACATCTGTGAAAGATCTTGACTTTAGTTCTTTGTATGTGAAGCACTGGCCATTTCTTGCAACAGTGGAGGAGACTGGTAAATTAATCAGGGTTTCGACATTCCCAAGCATTTTTATTATGTCATTACAAAAAATTAATGTACCCCTGACTTTGAAATACAACACCAAAGGATCAGTCTGTGATTATTCAATTAAAAAAAAAAACCCAAACCCTACATACTGAGAGTAAGATATTAGTTTCTCCGTATTCTTCTGCATCATTTTTCTCTCTGCTTCTTTACAAAAGGTGGGAGTTTTTTATCAGTATTAATCATCTTTGTATAAATGAAATGCAGTTCCTTTTATACCCACACATATATCTGTATCTGTAATCAGACATTTCCTCTGGTTCTAAAATTAGTGTGTAAAGTCTCTGTGCTTATCCTTTAGATGAGATGGCCTTCTGTTTGTAAATATCATAGATCTTCAGGATTTTACTCTTTCTATATCTGTTTAAAATCACTGAAGTTTAATTCATAAAAGTCACGTATTGTAAAACACTTACTGCTGAAAGTTCCCTAAATTAAATCATAATAAGTCAGAAGTCTTATTCATATAAATATTTATCATTAATAATAACACATATTCTAATGTTAAGGTTTGGTGTCATTGTATATGTGATTAAAAGCTTTCACATTCTGCCAGTATTCAGCTGGACTCATACATGGCACGATATTCTGTCAGTTAAAAAAAAAATCTCATACTTGACAAACGGAAACTCACAGATATGACTGCCCATCAGTAACATCATTGGAAATCCTAGATCACTTCAGGTAATCACTGTTCTTTCTGCTAATATTCTCAATGTGGTGATATCAGTAGTTTCTTTTTTCTCTTGAACAAGCTACTTATAGAACAATAATTTTTTCGTAGGGTTCCAGTAATATGATTTCAATCAATAGGATAAAATTTGGTCTTGCCCAGTGCTCTATTTCCAAAAACAGCAATAGAAAAGGCTGTTCAGGCACAAGAGAGACTGGAAACTTTCTACAGTTCATTCTCTCCCCTGCAGCAGCATCACAACTCTAAGAGTAAGTAACTACTGATACTGAGCTTGCTAATACTGTCTGTATCCACATTCTGTGGTTGCAAGATCCAGGAGTTTGCTATCTGCTGAATAAAAACATTCTTTAGCAGTTGACTATAGGTATCTATTTTTCATAACACATTATCTTAGCTGGATTTTGTGCAATGTCAGGTCTTGCACAGCTATTGGAGGGGTTCCATTGATAATCTCACACACTTTCTAAATGCATGAAACAATCTGCATCAGCAGTTGTCATCCCCTTTTTCTATTTTCTATGTATAGAGTTTCTCATGATCTAAAAAGATCTGCTTTAAGTTTCCTCTGTCTCTTTTCTCATCACTTGGTTTACCTGTCAAAGTTGGCATGGTGTAATGGCTATGCAGAGATAATACCTTTCTCCTTAGCAACTAAAGCACTGGCAATAATTCTTTATTATTACTGATATTGCTGCAGTTTTATATTATATTGTTTATTTGTATTCCACGAGTACATGTGTATAGCTAAAAACAGATCAGTTTCTCACCAAGCGGGGCAATGTACAGGTATAGAAAAAAACTCTTCTTGATCACATACTAATGTTGCAAACAAAACAAACAAACCAACAAACCCTAGGTTCCCTTTTCATGTAGATTTCCTTATTTAGAAAACTATGACTGGTCTCATTATTGATTTTTGTTTGTGCTAAGCCTGCACTCAAGCACTGATTTTTATAAGAAGACTCAGCAATACTTGTAAATTTTATGTAATGAAAGTCTAATCAATTCAGTCGAGGTCAAAAGTCCTTTAGAGATCATCTGCCCACCTTCTTACCCTCCAAATTCACTTCAGAAAATAGTCAGCACTTGTAGAAATTTATATGGCTCCACCTCTTCATGGACAAGTTTCCACAGATATATCGTCTCCTTCCTGACCACACATTTTCCATGGGATAAAAAGGGCTTCATCTAAAACAAAGGTAAATTCTTTTTACAGATGTGTGAAGGATTAAATCATTTAATCGAGGTTATTCTCTATCAGTAAGCAGCAGTCCACACGCATGCTGACACCAGCTATTTTCGCTTGTGCATCCCACTACCTGAATTCACAGTGCAGCAGAACCTACTGCTTAGTGGCTACCAGATACATACTTTTATATATGTATGTTGTTGAGTAGACATTGTATATTTTCACTTTGGTATATGGTACATGCATACATATACATATGTGCATTGCTGTGTAGACATATTTTCACTCTTTTTTTTCTTTCTTAGAGACAAGTCCAAAAGGTGCAGTAGAACTGTGTTTACCTTCAGAAACTGGACGTACCTTGCACTTAGTACAGGACAGTAAAGGGTGGAGGTGCATCAAAAGCCAGACGGGGTACACCATTATTGATAAGATGTAATTCTTTCTGTGACACCACTCATGAAAAACGTCATGTTACATCTCACAAGGGTAAAGTCTATAAGGAGTTTCCTATCTGTTGGCTTTAACTGACTAAACCTGGTGTTGTTCTGTAGGCAAATCCCTGGCCCTGCTGCAAAGACGGCTGTGTTTTTGATGGGCCGTTCCGAGAGGGCTTGGAGCAGCGGACAGCCGCTTCAGCGCCCGGGCTGCGGGAGGGCCCAGCGGGCACCGTGCACACTGCCGTTTCTTTAACTGAAGACATCACCAGATGAAGAGCATTTTAAAGAAATTAAACTATGAAAGGCTTAAGCCTCCATTATCTAACTCGGTACAGACAGATATCGCTCCCTTGCCGAGTCTTTCTCCCTGCAGTTAAGCTGGAAACCGTGACTCGCGGCTGACGGGTGCGTTTCTCCCCCGCTCAGGGCGCAGTGTCAGCGCTATCTCCCGCCTCCCCCCGCCCCATGGGCCACCCCCGCCCGCAGGCCCGTCCGGCGGGCAGCGCAGGGCAAGGCAGGGCAGGGCCGGGCCGGGGGCCCCGCCGCGCCCCTGGGAAGGCGCTGCCCTGCGCTCTGCGAGAGGGAGGGCCGGGCTTCCCCAGTTCAGACAAGTTCTCGCCCCGCTTCTGCGGCGGGTTTTGGTGCGACACCGTCCTGACATGTTGTAACTGGTTTCCACACCCACCGCGCCTGAGAGCGACGGGAAGTACCTGCGAGGAGCCCTGCGCCGTCCCGACTCGCCGCGGCCGCGATCGCAGGAGCTGGGTCCCCTGTCGAGCCGGGAAGAGCCGGGAAGAGGCGAAGTCCCCCCGCGGGGCAGCGGCGCAGTAAGTGGCTCCCCGTCCGCCTCCCGCCGGGGCCGCTCGCCCCCCTCGGCCCGGCCGCTACGGGGACCGGGCGGGGGCGGGCGGCGCTCGGGAAGGGCTCCCCCCGGCGGCGGGGCCGGGGCAGCGCCGAGGGGCGCGGAGGTGCCGCCGAGCCCCGCCGGGCGCTGCTGCCCGCCCCGAGGTGGCCGTAGGTGCCACGCGTGCGGCGTCCCCGAGGCTGAGGCGTGGCCGAGCACGTGGCGGTGCCCGCGGATGGTTCTTTCGCCTGAAAAGTGAACTTCCAGCCTCAAAAGTGAAGGAGTGGGAACGTTTGCGGTTTTGTTTTTGTGTTTGGTTCCGTTGTTTGTTTTTTTGCTTGGATGCGGTACGAGCGACGGTACGGTTGCCTGTTACCGCCTGGCGTTAGTAAATAGCGTGTGCCGTTGGTACGGTTCCTTAATGCCGTGTTTGGTGGAGAACGGGTGCAGAACACCCAGTCGTCCCCAGGGCAGCACCAGGTTCCTAGAACCCCAGAGACAGCACGCGAAGGGGCTGGGACAAGAAATGTCCCTTTTCCAAGGTATGGAGATGGAAACTTTGTGTGGAAGCTGGCCAGGTGACTGGGGAAGGGGCTGAGGACGTCCCTAGGAGAGCACCGTGGCCAGGGCCTTCCCATGGACCGGCCGTGAGAGCCTGAGGTTGGGGCTGCCCCACAGAGTTACTGAATGGGAAATGTTTGAAATCCTGAGAAAAATAACTAGGCAGGGAAATTTCTTGTCCTCAGCTCTAGCCTGTAGGAAGGCTGTACTTTTGGAGCCACCCCAGAATACTGTGTCATTTTCTGCAGTGGGAATTTCTCATACGTTGTTTTTGTGGAAGCTGGGGTACTCTCAGTATCTTCCCATAAAAACACACACCTGCTTTTCTTTCAGCTTTTCTTCTTGCTGGTCTCAAGGTGGGTGATAGAGAGGACTAGAAGAAACAAACAGTTAAGCTTCTTTCTCCGGGTGTAAACAACACCTCTCCTGGTAGCATTTGTGGTCATGAGTCTTACAAAGCATAGGTGACATCTGCAAAGGTGGGAGGGTGGGTGTTGCCAGGGTCCTGGAAGCCTCCAGAGAAGGGCCTCATTCAGCACAACTTTGCTGATAGAATTGTTTGCTCAAGGAGGATAAGTCCTGAGGAATCAAGCTGATTGTGCAGAAGTTAGATATGGTTGAAAATTACATCAAAGCTTTCTTTTAGACTTTTGCTTAAATCTCAGTCTCTCATTCAAAAAATATATTGATTTCATAGGTATATTTTCTACAAAGAGGCTCTTGCCTTCTAAGGAGGAAAATCCCTGCTTCAAGACTTCTTGTCAAGTACACCTGACACCATAATTTTAATTTGAGAGTTTTCTTTTGTTTCTTCTCATGAATGCATCACGTGCTGGTGTCCTTACTTCAAAAAAGTGGAACTAGAATAATTTCATTTGTCTCATCTCCTCTGTGATTTATTTTAACATCTACTTCTTAAAGAAATATATACAGCTTTAAACTTCTTTTATAAACAGCACTTGTAAATCAAAGATCAGTGTAAAAGATGCTTCCTGTAAAATAACTATTCCTGTTTGGAAGATGTTGAGTGTATGTTGTTGTATTTGGTTCATACAACAATTAATGATCACAAATGCACACGCATGCAATCATTTTCTGCATTATATATATGCAGATGTATATGTGTTCATAACATTAAATACTTTATATTGCGCAACTCCACATATTAAATATAGTCCTGTTCCCTAGTGCTATTGTCAAAGGAGAGAGAAGAAGAGAAAGGGATTTAACCAAAGTTTTGAAATAAATGCTTGAATGTCTTTCTCAACTATATATATTTGCATCCAGTGACAAAACTACTAGGACAACATCCATTCTAAAACAATAATGATTTCAAAAATATCTTTTATTTGCCTTAGTAAAATAAAGATTAATTCTTTAACGTCATACTGACTGTTTTCTAGCAGTGTTTGGAGTGGTCTCCTTGTCCTGGAAGGTCCCATGAGAGGAGTATGTGAGGTGATCAGTAAAGTTGCGTCTATTACTGTTGAGATTCTTATGAACAACTCAGCCTAGTAACTGTGCACTTTGTTCTCTTGGTACTTTTTCATTCTTTGCCTAAAATTTCTTGAAAACTTGTTCCACGTGATTGCTTTTTATGGTACACCAATTTGAAGTTTTTATTTTTGCAGTATTTTCAGAGTTAGACCTTTGAAATAGTCTGTTTTGTCTGTGCTGCATGCTTGGTTGATCTGCCACACTACACCATAGTTTGTCATCTGCATCTGGACAGTGTATGCATGGAAATGGTATTGTTCCCATTTTATAATGTTGTATTTTTGCCTGCAAATGCAGTGTAGAATGAAGCCCTGAATATCTGCCATAGGAATACATATAATTCTTGATCAGAGGAAAGCTATCAGATCCCTTTTACTTACTGCTTTCCTGTTCACCATAAAGAGCTTCTCTGGAAGCTGTAAGAAACACTCCTTTCCCCCAGGCTCGAAAGCAATCCTATCTGGGAAGATCTATCCTGCTTTTTGGCTGGGAGACAGGATTCAAATGGGATTATTTCTTATGACATGCTGGTGCCAGCCTCAGATCTGGATTATTCTTTCTTTGTCTTTTTTTTAACCTTAGACTTCCCAAGATCCTCAGAAATCTTGGTTTAATTGAACATTTCATTGTACTTCAGAGTACCGATAGTGTATGGAAATTTTGATTTCCATTCTTAGGTTAATGTACCTAACTTAAGTTTCCTTTCAAGAAGATTTAAACCATTCCCAGCGGACAGTAGAAACACTGTTAGCAAAAATATCTGAAAGGGCTTGATATGAATAGAGAATTTTATTTATATGTCAGTAAACGAAACTGTATGACTCTTCCTATTATATTGCTATACTAATAATTAGGCTTACAAGGTAACCTAGCGTTAACTTGCAAACAATACTTTGTATATGCTTATCATAATTATTCTGGCTTCACTAGCTGTTCTTTCCTACTTCTGTTGTCTTTCTCCTAAGCTCCACATGATGCAAGGCTCATGTTCTAGCCCTGAGAAAAGAGGCACTACTACCATACATCATCTTTCTATTTCACATGACTGGTCATGCCATTCCTGTGACTTTTTTTTGGGGGGGGGGGAGGGGAGGGTTCTGTCTGGTTCAGAAAATCATTGCAGTTTAGGTTCTAGGTGAGTTGCAGAAACTCCTTAGAGTTGCACATGCATGAGGGAAGAAATCTTGGTCATTTGTCCTCTGTCAGCTTTAAATCCAAAACTGACATAGCAGGAACCAAGCCTTTCAATCTTTGTTAAATGAAATAAAAAAGATGGTAAGAATGAATTTTTATTCCATCAGCAATAAAGAGCTTACTTATTATTAATGTTTTGAAAAAAAAAAAAAAAAAGAAAAAAAAAAAGGTGAGATTAAAGCAGCCGCTCCTTTTGGCAGAAGGAATGAGCAGGGTGGAAACTAGACATCAGATTGCTGAATCAGAATTTGATCCCAGATGTGGGAGGAGACATCTTTCTGGAGTTCCTCATAAGTCACTGAAATGAGGTAGGCTATACCTGCTCAGGAGCAGCAGATGGATTAGATCAGCATGGGAGAACAAACAGATAAGAAGTAGGACCTGAATTACTGTAATTTCAAAGAAGCCAGAGAAAAGGTATGTGTTGCATCAAAAATTAGGAAATAATTGTTTTCTGAAGCATTTCTCTCAACACTGCTCTGTCAGTTGTTATTATAAAGAGACTTTTGAAACACCACCTAGAGTAGTGTACTGGAATATACTTTGTGTATGTGTTATTGGTGCAGATCTTCAGTGTTCTGCTGTCTTTTAAATAGAAAACTTTCACCAAATCATTTCACGTGCTTAGTATTGCCTTAAGTAGAAGAGACTCCTTAAGTAGCTTCCTAATAGTCATTTGGGAATATTCATCTCTGAGCATTTTCAAAACGCTTTGATGTTCCTAGAAGGTGTGAGAAAAAAGTGTCAGCAATATTGTCAGAAAAGTATTTTGCATAATATCTTGCGTGTGTCTGACTTACACTGCTACAACTATTCTGATTGTTGTCTTACTTTACTTTTCTCTCCTTACAGGTATATTTCACCAACTCACAAATGGAAGTGTAAGAGACTTTGTACAAAATATATGTGAAAATGGAAACCTCATCTTTGCTATCATCCCTACACGATGAATGCAGATCAGACAACTTTATTGAGCCTCATTACAAGGAATGGTACCGAGTCGCTATTGATGCTCTAATTGAAGGAGGTTTAGAAGCCTACAAAGAATTTCTTTCGAAAGAGAGATGTTCAGAGTTCCTTGCAGATGAGGAAATTGATTATATTTTGAACAATGTTCATAAACTTCCCCAAAACACAGTTTATTCCTCTAACAATGCCATTGATGACACCTCTTCTTCGGGAACCTACTGGCCTATTGAATCAGATGTGGAAGCTCCAAATCTTGACTTAGGTTGGCCCTACCTGATGCCTGGAATTTCTGGTGGCACAAATATTGATCTGCTTTTTCATCCCCCACGAGCACAGCCTTACACCATAAAGGAAACTATTCGGAAGATGATACGAGATGCAAGAAAGGTAAACATGAAAAATACTGGGGGGGAAAAAAAAAAGAAGTAGCAGTAATCTAGTTGGTGTTTTATCAGGAGCTTTTTTCCTCCCTGGGCAAGAAAAAAATTATCTGGCTGCTTACGATTTAACCTCATTTACAAGGGATCAGGGATTAGTTAAAGGAATTAATGAAGCATTATGACTATTTTACTGTATTGCTGACCATTAGTCCATGAGAAATCTGTTGGTAATCAGCATACCATTGCTTTGACCTCATTTGAATATGCCTCAAATGACACAGTTCTATCCAACTTCAGGGTATAATCCTAAGGTTTCTGTCCTTCATCAGTTGGGAATATGTGCAGTGGGAACATGCATCAGTTTGGTATGCTATCCTGTTGTTAGAAAAAAACATCTATATGTACATTGTACTCATATACCTTATGATTCTCTGCTTTTGTGATTTTGCATGCCCACTATCACCATGAAAGTTAATTGAGAAGGTATTAGAGAGACTTGAGAAGAAAACAAAAAACAAAAAACAAAAAACAGTTTAGGGAACAAGGAAATGAGTTTTAGCTCTTTTAGTTGCCTTACTCCATTTCTGTCTAATTTCTAACTTAGAAGAAATACTTCTCCGAATGTACTTATCTTTGCTTAGGAACTTTTGCATCTTAAATTTCCTAAGACTCACACTGAGAAGATGGAGCTCTGTATGTACAATGCATGTGCCTCTTGCTTCCCAGCGTTATGTTTAACAAAAATAAAAATAAAAAATAGATGTATATTTAAGGAGTTGAGGTGGACTCTGGGCCATGTTACCTTCCGAAACAGATGTGATGAGGTTTCAGAAGTATTCCTAGCAAGTATACCTTGCTCTCCTTTTTTCCCCATGGAAAAAGTTTATTTTTGCTCTGTAAGAGCTTTAAATCTGTAGGACATCCAAGTCAAGTACCTCTGTAAACACTATTGTGAGTTAAATATGCGTGTAAATGGGTGCAATAGAAGTGAATTGAAAAGGGCGTGTGGAAGGGAAGGATGTCTTTTTATGACCTCTCTCTATTTAGATAAAGTATAATAATTTGTTGCTACAATAGACTTATCACTAGAGCATTTGTCATGCAATTTACAGCCTTGAATTATCGTCTGCTCTTAACACAAGGAAGAGAATTCTTTTTTTTTTCCCCTCTTTCTCCCTTTTAAATTGACAGTTGTTTTCTGCTTTTGGATGCAGTAGGACTTGGCTTGGTTGGCATACTTTGATCTTTTTCAACTACTGCTTCAGAGCTACTAATGTATCTACTGAAAGGGAAAGAAAGAAAACAGAGTTAAGTCTGTTGCCAAGGCCAGCTTAGATTTGTGAGGTCGTGAAACACCATGAGGAAATACTGTTTCCAGTCCTTTTTCACTTCTTCGCTATTTCGTTTATATGCCATCCAGGCCCTCTCCAATGACTCTCCAGGGCTGTCTAGTTAAATGTCGTTTTAGGGAGTATGCCTACTTTGAATTCAGCTAGGCAGAAAAATAAGTGTGATTCTTACCTCTTTTTGAAAAGGAAGTTTAATCTAGCTCTCTCATAAGGCTGTGTCATTTTCATGTTACAAGGAGGATATGATGTATGGTCACTGCCAAATACGACAGCTGAAAGGCTTGTGTAGTTGATCAGTACAATCTCAGGAGCAGCAACCATAACATTGTTGATACAGCGATACAGGTTGGTTACTTTAAGAAGCAGCAATTAAATCTAAAAGACAGAGGGTTGTTCAACCCCTTCTGTGATATGTGTGGAAAAGTTTAAAGGACTTCTAAGTAAGATAAAGTAAGGTATTTAAAACATGCCTACAGCAGGCAAACACTTTGTAAACAGGCTACTTCTCCTAAGCCATGTATAAAAATATATTAAACAGAGTCTGTGTTATGTGATACTGGAGACGTGTAGTCATATGATAATTTTCAAAGGAAGTAAAAAGTGTCACACATGAGAGAAGAAACCTGTACAGAATAAAAAGGTTATTCAGCAAATCATATTAAACCAATACAGCTCTAAGCAGGTTTTATGGGCGTTTTAGCATTTTCCCAATTTCAGTGGGAAAATAAACAGGCTGTTGAAGATGACAGTACTCATACCACCAAAACTTTAAGCACCAAACCTGTGTACCTGAGTTCAGGCATTGATTTCCCTGGACTACCTGAACACTCAGTACAGTGAGAAACCAACTCCTACGTGGACAAGTCAGAGAACGCTTCTGCACTGATCCACCCAAGAAGGAAAACTATTCAACATATTTGTATGTATATACTAGCCCAAAAATTCATAACTGAGGCTAAGCTAGTTGAAACCTAGACTCTTTTGAATATTTGGAGATATATAAGGATAAGATGGCATTATTAGTGGACTTACTCTTGACCTCCTTTGCTTGATGCATCACAGTGTCACTCCTTAAAATGATTATTACTTATGTTAATTCTGACCTTAAGAAGACATGTCGTAAACAACGTTAAGCAATTTGCTTGCTGACAGCAATTTTTTCCTGACTAAAGAGGAAAACCATATGTAAGGCTGTGCTACACTATACTAAAAACTGACTGTGAAATAGTGTCGTAAGAAAATCTTGTCACATGCTCCTTAAGTGTATAATCTGTAGAAAAATTATGCACATCATCTTCATGCTAAATCCAGTCAATATAACAATGGAGTTTTATATCAATGGACTGCGTACTTGTGATATATGTTTCTGAACATAGATTAGAATTTGTTGTACAGAAGATGACATTACGTCACGGTCTACAGTGCTTCTGTGGGATAGCTATGCTGTCAGTGTGAGGTTAGCAGAATGCCTCAGGTCAAACCAACTTGCCAACAAAATGGGTTTACTGTTAGTGTAACTAGACCTCATGTTCAAATGATACAGCTTGCCAACCCTGCTCCTCTGTTGACATAACTGATGTTCATGCAAGGAGGCTGTTTGACAGGACTGTGTCAGTTCACGAACCATGACTCTTTTTCAGATGTTGATGTAACCGTGTGGGGAAGAAAGTGCTGCAAGGTCTGTCTGACCTTAATGATGGACAGACTTTTGCAAACAAGCTGGTAGCCTTATTCCTTGTGTTTTGGAAGGTTGTGCCTTTAATCGCTGATAGGTTTCTAGCTTCTCGGAAGCTTGAGGTGTTCCTACAGCCTGACTCATCTCAGCTGAGCTGTCTGAACCACAACTGATAATGTTTAGCAGTTTTTCCTGACAAGATTATTCATCTGAGAAATGGTATCAAGATGATTACTCATCTTTGTCAAGTTAATGTGAATCTTCCTCCTCTTACTATAAAGTAACACAGAGATTTCAATAATGAAGTGTTCTTTTCCTGTATAACTTTTCACGAGTTGTCTCAAAACTGTAAGTTGTGAAGTTTGCACATAGGTTTTACAAACATCTTGTACTGTTTTCTCAAGCATGATTGGCAGGGCAAGAGAACAGGGAAAGGGCAGGACAGAGAAGCAAAGGGTCCTTCTGGCTGCGTGTTTTTCTCTCACTTCATTAACTGGATTCCCCTTTCTACCACTGAGACATTCCTACATACCTTAGAGAGAATGCATAGCTCTGAGTCTTTTAGATTGATATCCAAATAAGGATCAGCTCTTCCTGGAGAGAATTCAAACCTGTTTTGTTAAGAATCATGTTGTTTAGACAACCCAAGGATTACTGCTTTGCAACGCAAGCCAGAAAACACTGAAAGACTTCTTTGACATACTTTTGGGATTCCTGATGGAATGTATTAAGTTGCAGGCTATCCAGCTAATATGCCACACTTTGCACTGATTTATTTTATTCAGATAGCATAGCAGTCTTAAATCTGGACTCATAAAATCAGTGATAGTTGTAAGACTTTTCAAGAAGTTATTTCTTTAAGAAGATTAAATTGAGATTTAGATGGTTAATATATGACTATTTTGGAAAATTGAAGAGAGGCAGGTGTTTCTGCTGAAATTGGGTTTTTTAACGTTTAAAAAACTTGGAGCCATGAGGAAGAATTAAGTTATAGTGTAAGAGGGTGTAACTTGTTATTAAGTCTTGCTGGACCCCCTGTACGTAGGCCTTTAGTAAGTCACTTTTTTGAGTTCTTGTGAGAGAACTGTTGTATGAAGTCTAAGTATCATTTCTGTCTTGTCTTGCAGAGTCCTGGCCCAAGTCAAGTAAACAAAAAACAGTTGATTCTTTTTACATCTATGGAAAAAGGAAATTAATTTCTTCTGATTTCTTTTTTTCCCCAGCTTGTTTGATTTGGTTTGATACTTTAAGGCATGAGCAAGAGGATGTGCATAACAGAAGAAAATGATCATATGCTATTGATTTCCTTGTTTGGATATGTGCATAGATACAGAAATAATGATCTAGTACTAGCTATATACAAATATGAGAGAAAACCAGGCTCTTTTTGTGCCTATATGAAGTGTGATGCCTCCATGCAGAAAGAAACTTGTAGAATATGGGTGTGGAAGACTGTTAAGCAATCATTTTTACTCTCTCAACAATACTCTTTGCCAACTATTTTAAATAGAATTTGAACAGAGATTGGAACAATGATAGTGAGTTATGCTTGCAGCAGTGCTTATCTTAGCTCATTAACTGCAGCCATCCAAGTAGATGAGAGAGAGGGGCTACAATTTATTGTTCATAAAAGCATGAAAAAATTACTGAATTCCAGGAAAGAGGTTGGTAAATGAAATAGTCATCCCACTGAAACAAATTTTTATGCTATTTCTAGAGTCCCTGATAAATGATAAATGATGGATACGTTTTCTAAGTTCTCAGTTGAAGATGTCTGGACAAAGTTTTCCTTGCTAAGATATGCTACTACACAAGGAATTCAGCAGGTGTTTTAGTACCAGCACTACATTAAAGAAATCCATTCATCAAGTGCTTCTGCTCACCTTCTGTGAAATGGGTTCCTGGTATTTGCAGACCAGCATGGCAGTCACGCATATACTTTCCAGGTGAAACATGATGTTAGCCTTTCGTAGATTCATTAGA